GATAGATAGATAGATAGATAGATAGATAGATAGACAGATGATAGATAGATAGATAGATAGATAGATAGATAGATAGATAGATAGATAGATAGATAGATAGACAGATGATAGATAGATAGATAGATAGATAGATAGATAGATAGATAGATAGATAGATAGATAGATAGACAGATGATAGATAGATTGATAGACAGACATACAGACAGAGATAGATAGATAGAAAGATAGATAGAATGTTATGTGATCATTCAACTGAGTTCAGACAGAGATTTAGTTGTTTGTTGTTAGCGACTGGCACTTTGAGGTCACAATGTCACATAAGTTGTGCAAAGAACTTGCAAGTCAGTGTTGATTACATTTGTTGGAAACTATTTGCCAGATTTGTTACACTGGAAACCACACTAGCAACTCCTTACAAGTGAGAAATGGTCACAGGAGGAGACCATTGACTTTGTCAGTGAAAAGCAGATGCTCATCTATAAATGATGAGTCACTGTAGACTCCACCACTGGGATTCAGCCCACTGTTTGGGCTGATACATCAAACATGCATATGAGAAGATAAAAAGATTTTGAAACAAAAACAAAACTTCATGGCTCTAACACGCAGACAGCGACTCACAGAGCTGACCCTGTATCTGACAACTCACTAACTGTGCCATGAAAGTTGGTAGAAGAGTTCTCTACTGTTTTTCAGTAATGGATCTCCAGCATCTGGTTATTAGATCAAAGCCTGTGTACGTAATCCTACAGCTGTTCCACTAAAGCTTCACTCAACTGGGTGTGTAGAACTAATCTGCATCAGTCCCTCGGTGTGCATGTGCAGTTTCACTGCCCAATGCCACCTGCCCAGTGTTTCTATTTTAGTACACCTCTGCCCTACAAGCATGTGACACATTTAGCTTTACATATACATAAAATTGGCCATATATATGGAAGCTAATGCCCACATGCTAAATCATTCACACACTGAAATAAGGAGAACTATAAAAGAACTAAAAATAAAATTATGGAATAATCTGTCAATTTAATGCTTCAAACATAAAAATGTAAATAAATAAATTATTTTAGAAAGGGGGTTGCTTTTAAAATTGAGTCGAAAGTTGATTGGTCGCCCCCACAATGCCACTCAATTGATGGATAAGGTCATTTGACAAAATGACAAAAAAAATAAAAATTATAAAGAAAGGCAACTGGTAAATTGTTATTTTAATACAATTTTAAATGTGCATTTAAAATTATTTATTCATTTTATTGTTGTATTTTTCTACATTTTAAAACATGAATTAAATAAAGAGCTTTAAGCATTTATTTTTCCAATTAAATGATTCATAAATTATTTATTAATTCATTTTTTATTTAACTACATTTCAAATAATGAACTTTCAGTTTTAAATATGTTTTAATTTGTAAATTTTACCATGTCAGTCTTAAGCACACCCCTTCAAGTAAAGTGTAACCCAGTTTTGTAACTTGTGGCATCTCATAAATGTGATGATTCTTGAACCCTAAACTAACCCAACTAACCTAACCCTTTATTTGATAACATATTTCACTAAATGTGTGAAGAAATGTAAAAAAAAATATCAAAAAGTAAAACATGAATAATGAACTTTTCAATGAATGTAAAATAAGTTTGACTTTACGATCACAAGTATAGCTAAACTTGTACAGTACAAACGCGCAGGCGTTGCCCCAGTGCCGTTTACCACCGCCAGAGGGCGCAAGAAGCCCGTTTTCGTTGCTTCTGAACCGACTGATCACGGCGCGATTCCCGTAGGCAGATCCCAAACACTAAACAGGTGGTCATACACCGCCACACAGCGCCCGCCGCGATGAAACGGAACGGCTACCGATCGTAACTTACACTGAGCCGCCAAGGTGCTGAACCAAAGATTATTAATGATCTGGACATCACAGCACGGGAGCCTTTGATCCCGAGTTTCCCTTGGATTCGGGAAGGTCTAAGGAGAGTTGGAACTATGAAAGTGACGGTGTGTTTTGGAAGAACTCGGGTCGTGGTTCCGTGCGGAGATGGCAACATTAAAGTGCACTCGCTCGTCCAGCAGGCCGCGATGCGGTACCGGAGAGCGATCGCCAAGGTGAGATGCTGTTTCTCTGTATCATCTGATTGTGCTCTGGAAACATAGTTGCGCCGGTGAGGGCTGCAAATATGGCGCTGTAGAGACGGAGTAAGTGAGCGGGGGAAGGGATTGGGACAGTCCGGACACTTAAACTCCGGGAAACAACGGCTTTATTTTAGCGTTGTGTGTTTTATCCTCTTTTAATGTGCAGGACCATCTTCTTTGTTCTTCATGTCTACAGCAGACCCCAGGAAGCCAGTGAGAAATGGGGCAAATGAAGTAAAATAAGAGAAAGCGAAGTTTCCTCCACGTTTGAAACGTTATTACCCTACTTTGGGACCCGTTAGAAATGACAGCATTTAGTAGAATGCAATATCACGTCCATTGACTCTTTGTTTACATGGCGGGTTGCCGCAGCTGAAGCGTCCTCGTGCTTTTTGTGACGAAAATACGTCTTGAACTTTTCTTGTGTGTACGTGAGTCCTGCGCTTTGTTTGTTTTAGTGAGCTGATGAGAGCTGCTGCTGCTAGGCGGCTAGCAGTGATCATTGATATGTCCTCTACACGTTTGGCACATATAAACCGTGTTTTTCGAGTCACACAACGCATCTACACTTAAAGCGAACGACGCGACTAACAAAACCGGAACGAATCAACAAAGCAGTCCGTTTAGCGCGAGAGCTCACTGTCCGGGCGTTTAGTTCGCGAGCGTTCAAGTTTCGTTGCGCCCCTAGCAGTGTATACGGAGGTGCGTTAAGTTTTTACACACATAAACAATTAAGGACTTAAAGAAGTATAGTAACACTCTAGACATGTACGTCTTTTAGAAAATGCTGTTTTAAATTCTACATAGTCAACCTTTCATGGGCGCAAACTCCGTTCCACAGCCAATTCTAAAGATTTCATAGATTTTTAGCGTTGTTGTTGAGTGCACAGTTAACTGTAAAACAAATATTAATGTCTATCTATAACCTTAACCATAACCTTAGTATAGCGCTGGTAGCACATCCTGATAGATAGCATTAAAAGATTAGTTAACTTCCAGAATCAAAAATTCCTAATAATGTACTCACCCTCATGTCATCCAAGATGTTCATGTCATTTTTTCTTCAGTTGCGAAGAAATTAAGGTTTTTGAGGAAAACATTGTGGGATTGTTCTCCATATAATGGACTTCAATGGTGGCCAGTGGGCTGAAGGGCCAAATTGCATTTTCAGTGCAGCTTCAAAGGGCTCTTCACCATTCCAGCCGAGGATTAAGGGTCTTGTCTAGTGAAACTTTTGGTCATTTTCTTTAAAAAAACAATAAAAATGTATATACTTTTTAACCACAAATGCTCGTGGTGCACTAGCTCGACTTCACGCATCATGTAGTCACGTTGGAAAGGTCACGCGTGACGTCGGCACCCAGTGTTTACAAAGCGAACGTGCAAAGAAAGTCAAACGTCCTTTACAAAAAAAAGCTAAAACAACGATGATGGACGATTTTGAACAGAACATGAGATGGAGTTTTTCACCTTACCCTACCTTTTTGAACCGGAGTACACAGACAACCTTGCGTGAACTTTCCAACGTGATTACACAGTGCGTGAATTTGCAGACGCGCATCGCAGAGCTAGTGCAAGATGGGCATTTGTGGTTAAAGGGATAGTTCACCCCAAAATGAAAATTTGATGTTTATCTGCTTACTCCTTGAGCGAGCGCACGGCACGGTGAGGTGTGTACGCGCTCTGGCCTAGTTTACGTTAAAGGGTGTGTTGATATCCAGCCGAAGAGCAATCATCCATAACTTCAGGCGAGCAGGCTCAGAAGTTGGGAATACGTGGAAAGTCACCACTCCCGAATGAGTTCGCGTGAGAGAACGTAATCTTTTAGTTTTAAGTCGGTTTGAACAATCCGGATAAGCGCAAGTAAGTACCATTTTGATTAGCCGTCATACCTACAATGACAATGAGCAAACAATGAGTGACGTATACGCGCGACGTAATCTTTTAGTTTTAAGTCAGTTTGAACAATCCGGATAAGTGCAAGTAAGTGCCATTTTGATTAGCCGTCGTACCTACAATGAATGTGCAACCAATGAGTGACGTATACGCACGAGAGATCACTTCCGGCGCTTGCATAAACTACGCCAGAGCGCGTACACACCTCACGTACTGGATGCCGTGCGCACGCTCAAAGACAGTTGGACATAGTGGTGTATTAGAGCGAAAAAATGATATAAATACTGTTCAGTTTCTGGCACAAACCGATCGTTTCGTGTCTTAGGACATCAATGTGTCATCACAAGCCGCAGGGTTTAATTTGGATTTGTCTGCATGTTTTTTTTTACTCTCATAGATTTTGTTACCATTGCCATGCATTATACGACTGATAGACTGCAACGGCTGGACTTAAAAATCATAATTTGTGTTCTACTGAAGAAACAAAGTCACCTATATCTTGGATGCCCTGGGGGTAAGTAGATAAACATCAAATTTTCATTTTGGGGTGAACTATCCCTTTAAAAAGTATATATATATATATATATATATATTTTTTTTTTAAGAAAATTATTATTCGTTTCACTAGATAAGACCCTTATTCCTCGGCTGGGATCATGTAGAGCCCTTTGAAGCTGCATTGAAAGTGCAATTTGGACCTTCAGCCCACTGGCCACCATTAATTTCTTTGCGACTGAAGACAGAAAGCCATGAACATCTTGGATGACATGGGGGTGAGTACATTTTCAGGACATTTTTATTCTGGAAGTGAACTAATCCTTTAATTAAGGGCTGTTCATGCCGAGGATGATAACTATAATGATAACTATTTTAATGATCATTCTAATTCTATGAGATTAGGGAAATCACAACTATAAAGATGACGAGTAACAGAGGAATGAAATTGTAGGAATCACTTTCAGAACTTTTTTCAGAACATCGACAGCCAATCCGATTCCACCTGCCTTTAAAGAGCTTAAAGCAAACAGAACATCATATCAAATGTTGATGTGAACACTAATATAGTTATTGTTATAGTTAACATTCTTGTTGTGATTGGGCTTTTACTGTTTGTTGCAGTCAGATCCATCCATGGATTTTCTGAATCCGTGATGATGATGATGATGATGATGGGTCATTCCTGATTCATTCATTCATTGTGTCTGTCACGTGACAAATGAACAAAAGACTCAGGTGAACTAATCCTTTGTGTTGCTCCTGATTTATGTTTGGGTGACTTGTAATTTATATAGTTTATAGTTTCTTAATTTGAAATATGATCAGATGATACATATTTGAATGTACAGGGGATTTGACCTTTGAAAATATTATTACATTTTTAACACCTGGCCTAAGTCAACACCAAATGACTTGAATTAAGTTATAGAGAGTCTTCCAATCTTCCGATCATGAATCACCAACTCACCAAAAATAATTGTGATTGCATCCAATATAGGCCTGTCGCAATAATCAATATATCGACTTATCGCGCAATATATGTACATGACCTCAATAATTTTTGGTGACACAATATATCGCTCCATTATATTTACTAAAAAATTAATGTCACTATGTTTTGTACATTCCACTTGAACCTGTGTCTTTTGCAGCTTCTCATACATAACGTGGTGTAGTCATGCGGTGCTAGTTCAAATTTAAAAAATGCTTCTACAAAAAAAAGTTTCATCTGCAGATATGGTCTTGTTTAGGGATCTGTGCCTTTGTGCATACGGACATCTGACGAAGTAGTGATTGGGTTTTTCAGCAATAGTGTGCACCCTTCATTTACAGAGAAAAGAAGGTCCGGGAAAAATCTGTAGATGGAAAAGTCTCCATACAACTTTGTGCATTTTTCTTTTTTTCTACTTGTTACTTTGCACTTTTTGTTAGAAAATGTTTATTTACTGTTTATTCAGGTTTTTTAAAGGTATCTAATATTTTGATACTTAATTTCCATGATCTAAATATTCTTAAAAATTAAAAGTTTGCTGTCATTTGGAAGTATGTGTAGACCTTCTTGCATTATTATGCTGTTACATTACGATTATATATTCAGTGGCATAAAATGGTCTTTAAAATGACAATAATATCGCTTATCGCAATTATTTCTGGGGCAATATATCGCACAACAAAAAGTTGTTACAGGCCTAATCCAGTAATGTCCATAGATATATGTAGTATGAGATGAAAAAAAAAAACGTAGACGTTAATAGCTTGGGCTACTGTTTTGACCACGGTTGCACCAACAGATCTCCCAGAATACCTTAGAGTCTGGTTTGCACCGGGGAGAAATCAGCATTCAGGATCAGCACTCAGACTAATAGCGTTCAATATGCAGCTTTTACAGTTAAATGATCCGAGGCTCAGAGATTTTTGCTCGATATATATGAGGGAAGTGGAGGAGTGAGGGAGACAAACGCATGTTTGTTCACATGAATAAATAATTTTCTCTTTTAGTAGCATATGAGCAGAATTGTTTATATGTGTTCACAGTGCTGGCCACCTGTGAGTGTGTGTGTAGTGGATGATTTATTATTAAATGAAAGTTGTAGCCACTTTGTTTGCTCTTAAACAAAACATCTGTTAGTGTAAGTGTCTACGATGACAGTTGTTGTTATAACGATGTAGAGTTTTATCATGATGATATCGAGTTCCATTGTGATGGAGCAGTTATTATCATAATCATATGGAGTGTTATGGCAAATCTGATTTTATGATGAAATTGAGGATGGCCTGATGTGAGATTTGGCCAGTTTTGGGTCAGTTGAACTGACCGTTACTTGTTATCTTATCATGTTCATCTTAAGTTTGTTAATGTTGTACATGTGTTGTCACGCTTTGCAAATGTAAATTTCTTTTGGTTTTCTGCTGATGTAGCAATCTACAGAAGAGGTTTTGTTGAACTAACAAAAATGTGCTAATCATATGTGCAGAACTCTCCCAATTGGCCCACTACAAGAAGAATTCAACTGGAGTTCACTCATTGGCCACACTTTTGCTCTCTTTTTTCCCTTTTTTATTTTGAAAGTTCGATGCAG